CATCTAAGCCAACATATTATAGACATCTGTACATTGTCAAACCCGATCCAAGCCCCTTCTGCAAAATACTGACATCCGACGGCATGCCCACAACACAAGCGGCAATCGCTAAACGACAAAATCAAATGCGTCCCAATTGGTGCAGACTTTATCAATGTTGTATGTTGTGGTAGAATAATTAGTTTGAGAGTTGTTAGTTGTTTGTTAAGCCACAGTGCAGGCTGCAGCGCTCCCCTTTTCCGAGACCGTGTGAGTGGCTGAGATCCAAAGTTTGAGGGCGGGCAGAGCTGCGAACACAGCCTTCAGGCTGTTTCAGCTTTCTGCCAACCCTCATCGGATTCAGAGTATTCTCATTCCCCCTTTCCCGCACACGTCCGTGAAAAATTGAACCCCGGTCTCGTGGCAATCCGTGTTAAATTGAAATCCGGTCTCGCGCGGCAACACCTAGTGAGGGTCAACAAGAAAACCAGCCCAGGTTCCCTGGGGTGGCGAAGAAAAACCACTGAAAGTCCAGGAGGCCCTCACTAGATGAGGTCGTGGAGCGGCACAATCATGCAGTCCAGCCCAACAAGGTCTCCCACAGAGAGCGTCAGGGTGTTGATCAGGTCCTCCTCCAGGCCATCTGCATCCCCGCCCAGATCCAGCTTGTCCTCGAGCTTGTTGAACTTTAGGGGACCGCCTTTTCCATTACCTTCTGCTGGATCCATGCTCTGGAGTAGTGGGCTCACAGAACTCGCTCGTGTCCACGAAGTGCCATTTGTCCACACTGAGGAGGCTAGCCGTCCTAACCCCAGGTTCCTCCTTAGGGACTCGGGAAGTTGGTGGCCCCCTTGAGCTCCCCGGGCTGCTTGTCCAAGCTAGAGCCCTCCCGGGGGGAAACAGCGCTTGGAGTAGCCGTCCCCGGGCTCCGTCGCCGTCGACTCCCCGCGTCAACTTCCATGGCCATTGCCATGCTACCTGATTCAAATGAAAAGATCCGAGATCGAACCAAGCATCAAGTCAGGGACTTGAGCCAAAATGGCTCGAGGCAGCCCAGTTTTCCCAAAACAAGTTTGGACAACATAAGAAATCCCAAACTCTTGCCAGAATTGCGGGTTTCATGCGGGGAATGTGGAGTTCACATGCTCACCAACCTGATGTTCTAACATGTCAAATGTCTTTGGTCCTTGCAACACTGCAGCCATGAGCATGGCCCAACCAAATGCTGAAGGCCTCAAAAGCTTCCACAGCGCGCCAAAGCACCCCTTGATCGCTAGCCTGCGCTGTTGGAAGCTAAAAAGCTGAAGATCAAAATCACCAGGCCGGGACGAAGAGAAAAACGCCACAGAGATCCACGGAGTCTGGATGCCCCAAATCCCGTCAGACGCGCCTGGAGAGGCACTCGGGTTCAGCTGGGTGGGCGCTTGGGCTTGGCACGCTTGCGCTTGGCGAGGCGCTTGCGCCTGCCGGCTCACACGATGGAAATTCGCGCCTTGGTATTTAGGTGATTTACTCGTAGGGCATCATCCATCCCCACTGCTGCAAAGCGGACTTGTCAACCCATAATAGCTTAAACAAAGGTCCAGTGTGAGGATCGACGCGTCATGAGAAGGAACGTAAACAAACCTCATCAGTGACTCGCCAGTGCCGTACATTTTGTTGCTGGCAAACTCCCCCTTTGCTTGACCACAGTTTTCAGACCGTGCCGCCCAATCTCGTCGCTCCTCGACTGGCAACTACTGAGGACATGCAAAGCGAGCTTCCTGCCGGCGAACATGCTCCAAACCCCGGGCATAAGAACATGATCGCCTCATTCTTCTTTCTACGCCTCACCTTTTCCCCCTAAACACTGAAACCGCCGCCTCGATGTTCTCCTGGGAGCTTCTGGCAAGTGGAAACATGTCCCAGGCCCACCTTGTAGGACTCCCAGACCTCAGCTGCCTTGGATTGCAGGGTTCGGTAGGGACATGATCGAGTAGCAACCTTCAGGGCCCAAATGTTCCCCAAAAACACGGTGTCCTCTTAGCCGCGTTCGCAGACCCCCCAAAGAGCCAGCATGAGGGTCACAGCTTTGGCAACCGTGATTGGGATACGGGTCACGGATCCGAGCAAGAGCGACGATGCGCTTGCATGCTCCTCAGTGGGACGTCCCTCATCCAAGAACCAATGCTTTGCACCAGATCCGAGTCAACACATCCATGTGCCCCTGGCTCAGCCAGGGCTCAGCCTGGAGCTGGCAGCGCGCACTAATCCAGACTATGCCCCGCTCTTGGCCTATGGACGAAGCTCGCTAACGGGGCCACTCCCCTCTGCCTGTACGATGTGAGGGGAATCATTCCAGGTCAACCTGGTAAAAGGAAGCATACATGTACATCCCTGAAATCCACTCTAAATCGCCTTGAACATGGCGACGCTGTGCTCAAACATCCTCGGAGTGAATTGCTCAGCTGCCTGTGACATGTGGGTGCTTGTTTTTTGTTTGTTTATTTGAGGGTGCCCTTTCTGGGGCGATGGACAGAAAATCGGGGGTCCGTCCCTACACCACCTGCCCCAAGTGCATTGAGCCCGTGGCCGGATCCCTGCCAGGCCCCGTGTCCGGCGAGCGAGCCAGCGAGGTTTGCGAAGCCTGGTGGCCGGAACCATGGCCCACTTTCGATTTCATCCTCAGGATTGGGGAGGGTTTTGGGGGTTACTGGGGGGTTATTGGGGGTTGGGGATGATTTATTGGGGGTTGTTGGGGATATTGGATGATTGGCGATGATGGGTTATTCCAGGATTACCTTCCATTTCCATTCTTTCCAGGGATCCTTTCTAGATTTTACCTCCGGAAACCCAGGGAAACCGGCCGACTTTTTTGAAAAGAACCATGGTTGAAAAGAATGGGGAATCAACCCCTGGAGTTATTCGGGATTGGGGTTGGTTGGAGGGCTCTGAGCATTATTGTGGAATGCTTAGTATTATCAGGGAGTGTTGCGGGGAACTCGCGAACTCGCAAAGTAGCACCTACGAGATCGCAAAAGGGTGCAACAAAACGGTATCTCTGTTTAAAGTTTGAACAACCCATGACTATCCTTTCCTACCATCTTCGCAATAACTTCCGTGCAACAAGCACACCCCGGTTTGCCAAATTCGGAATGCTGAGGTTGAACTCCAACAAACCTCCAACCCACTTGTTGTGCAACCCCAGAACCACTGAGGATATGCTTCATGGAGTGGTTGTATGCCTGACGGGTACCGTTGGAAGCTGGGAAGGCCACTTCCATTGCCACAAGTTTGTCTGAAGAAAAGAACGCTGAAGCATGCCGAGAGCCCAAAAATCATGGCTACTCTTGCAGGCAACGCAGCCAAAGCTCACACATTGTATGCCAAATTCAGCATTTTCTTCAACCAGCAAGCTTGAAACGACGCGCCTTTCCTTTAGAAATTTGGATTGCATGCTTCGCCAAGAAGATCCTGCCCGCCCCTATGGCCCAGGCGATCGAATTCTCGACTCGATCCTCAGCGAACAAGTCAAAAGCTGCAGCTGAAGCAACGCAACGGAAATTGCCGCGCATCCAAAGCATGCCGCTCTTCAGATTGCCCTTTGTGCCTTCCAAATGTCTTGCTGAGCCGACTTTGCGCGGCTCTTGCTTGAGCTGCTTTCCGTAGCCCTAGCGCTGTTAATCAGTATGGATCGATCTAAATACATCGCCAGACAAGTTGATCGAACAGCGGAGCAAATACAATGTGCATTGCTACCTGGCATCCGGTCGGCAACGAATCTATGGCTGCATGCCGGTCCTCACAAACAAGCCTCCGTTGACAATCACAATCTGAGGCACTGGGTGACTGCCCTAGAATGTTAACACTGATCAAACCAAGCATGCCCTCAAGAAACACCCAAATCGCAACGGATCCTCTCGGAAGCTCGCAAAGTCATAGCACTCCACACTACGTCGCAGAGAGGTCCCAAGAACATTTCACTTCGACGCATGGGTGCCCGGACTGCAACCGTGGGAGTCCAGGACGCAGAGCGCCAGCCCTGCACAGCCGCGGCTCCATCTCAAACAAACAAAGGCAAATTGAGTCGAGAAATAATTCCAGCCCATGAACCACACATATATAGTTATATGGATAAATGTATGTATGTATGTGAATATATATGTATATATATATATGTATATATATATATATATATGTGTGTGTGTGTGCGTATACCATGCATTCAACAGGTGAAAAGGGTGATAGTCTAACATGCCCACACGTCCAACCGTCAGGAGGCTCTTTCAATGCCCCATGGTCGAACTGAGCCAGCCTCAACGGAGATGTTGGCTGCAGGACTGCGCTGCTCCTCGGATGCAGGGCGTCACTGCACCAGCCGCACTTGCAAACAATAGTAGGGTGTCTAGCAAAAAATAGGCAACTTCCATCATCTTGTAGCTTCCTTCAGGGGCAATGAACCAGAACCCACAGTTGAGAGAGCTGTAGGGGCTTCATTGGCCTCCGGGTATGTTTGCAAGGGGTCCTTCCAGGGTTCGCGCAGGTGGTCTGAGGGGCCCAGCGTTTGCTTGAGGATAACTTGAAGGCACATGATACATGCATGTCGCTACTTCCAGCTGATCTTAGCACGCGTGTGGAGCCATATGAACGTCCTGGGCCTTGCCCAACGTTTGGCGGGAAAGAAAACTGGTCCGTTTTCTATGTTCAATCTTCCCAGCGAAGAAAACTCAGGGCTAGGGCCTGAGGTGTAACAAGTTTGCAAGCACAAGTGACACCAGGTCAGAGGAATTGATATGGGTGTGTCCCACTGACCTGAGCTCCGGCACCGGAATGGGGCTCGGCCGCTCCACAAAGGCGTCTTGCCGGGTGGTCGCCTCAATGGACACAGGGCGTTGGGCGAAGTGTGCGCGCTCCGTGATCACCTGTGGTTGGTTTTTGGTAGAATCATAAAATAGCCTAAAGACGGAAAATACGCCTATTCAAAACAGCTTGGACGCCCTCCAAACGGACCGGTGTTCTGTAGAAAGCCCAGGGTGTGCAAATTTAGGAAGCAACAGTGCAAGTTCGCCGGGGGTTTGCGCACTTGTTGCTCAACCAGGGGGTCTTTCGGCAGTCGGTTCCGCCTCAGGCCTCATCTAATCAACAAAATAATTGAAATAGAACTTCCCTTGGTCCAGGCTTCGCAACGCAACCGACACCTCAGAGTTCAAGGTTGGTGGTTCCAGGCCTCTCTAGTTGACAAAAATCATCATCCTACATGCCTGCCGGCTCTCTCGTCGATTTAATGTTCTCAGAACCCCCGCTGCAACTGGTCCTGTCACAATCTGAAAATACAAACACGAATCACTCCAAACAGCCCACCCCATCTCCCCCCGCAATGGGACAATGTTCGGTATTTGTTGGTTCCCTGTTGCGGCATGCGGCGCTTCAGCCAACAACAACCCGCGCCCTTGGGGTCAAGCGATGCTTTGAACACCAGCTATGTCAACAGGATCACCCTCACTGTGGATTGCATGTCTTGTCTGCAAAACCTGACCGCGATAAGATAGCTTTGACTTGCAACGAGTAATGAGTCCATATCAAAACTAACAGGTACGCGCATGAACCATGGAACGGTAGGAAATAAACTGCTGGCCTAATGTTGGCAAGCATCCAAGTTATCATACCATGGCCTTTCCCACCCTAAAGCATTCCAGGGGGCAAGCACTGAGTGTGCCGCTGGGGATGCTTGTGGCCAAGGTGTGCCGAAATCCATAGACCGTAGGCCAGCAGAAACAGTGGACCTCAGCCCAACTTGTCAGTGAGCCATCATGAGCGGCAAAGGTCATACCATGGGTCAAGGTAGTGTCAGGCCAAGGGGACAGAATTCTGCATACAGCACTGGATGGGGGAAGTGGCGGCATGGTTGAGGCGGCACCTCTCGTCTGACTGTGACAGTCTCTATCCAGCAAAATGCGGCAGAGGTCAGCGTACCCTCAATTTGTGATTCGGCTTGGTTCAAAGCGGCCGCATTGGGTAAGAATCAGGAACTCAATCTCCCAACCCACCCTTCGGAACCAGCCAGCCGCAAGCCTGGCCAAAGCGTTAAGCAATGCAACAGTGGCCCACCTTTGAGTGTCAGCTGCTTCTCAGGGAATGACCCCACCAACCTCTCCCTGCAACGATTTGTTCATGGTTGGAAGGGGAGCTTGCCCATACCCAATCGGAACATGCAAAATCAGCACGCAGGTCACTTGCCTTGCTGCTGTTGCTTTCCGGCTTGGCTGCCCGGCAGTGTGTGCCAATCACCTCCCCGAAGCAAAGTTCCCACTTCGTGGTGGAGAGCCTGCACACTTCAAAGCTCACTACAGGCGCCCCCAAATCAACACTATCCGAAAAAGGGGACCCCTCCCGGCCCCTCCCCGCCCAAAAAGACCAAACAGAATACCATGCCCCCCATCCCCCCTATCACTTGGACAGCACCACGACCGGCCGGAAGCGAAGCATCCCCAACCTGCAGCTCCGCGTCCCGGCGCAGAAGCAGGCGCTTCACCTCCGACAGCTCAGCCATCATCCGGTCCTGCCTGGGACGGGGGGGGGGAGGGGCCCGGCGAAACTTACCCGTGAAGGCAGGGAGTGAAATGGAGAATGGACACAGGCTGTGGACCTGTTCTACTTGGCTGAAAAGGGGTGGATTCTTTAGGTCGCGAAAAACGAAACATACGAAACTTACCTTCTTGTCCACATGGACTCCCACTCCAATCAAAGGGGGTATGCGGTATGACTGCACTGAAGTTGGCAAGCAAATCCACATCCGAAGGGAAAAGCCCACTTGCGATGCCTCAGGGCAGCCCAGGGCCTAGGCACCACCGTGCTGTTGCTTCAGGCATGCTAAGAAGCTGAGATGGAGCTAGGCCTGAGGGCCTTTTGCCACTGTCACTGAATTGGTTCTTATTTGCTTACGGTTCCTCACAGGAAAGAGCATCGGCAGCTCTTTGCGTTTCATGCACCCTGGCCCGCTGCAGACACGCGCTAGACGATGGAGAATCATGTTGCAGGTCTGGGGCATGTTTCAGGCAAACAACCCACATACGATCCCATGGCTCCCTCTCCAACTGCTTTGCCCAACTTGGTGGACCTGGTTAGGGCAAAAGGCGGCGGCGCCACTACCCTCCTGTCCACTGACGTGGAACCTCACTGGGGGGTCGATTTTCAGATGCTGGACGGTATTGCAATGCGAGGTTAGCACTGAACATCAATCGCGATGCCTGCGCATAAAGTCCGGATCCTGCCCACAATACGATCTGTTGGTTGTGGGGTTTGGTCGCTTCACACCCAGCTCCCTGCACAACTGCCTCAGAAACATAACATGATAGCGTACCCTCGTAGGAAGTTTGCCACGACTTCGACGGCAGGGGTCCCATCAGCATAGCTGCTCGAAGCACCATCCCAGTTGGTAAGTTGGAGCTACAGAGAAATGCCGCTGCTTGCCTGCCTGCCGGCCTGCCTACCTGCTAGCTTTCTTGCCCGTGCAACAGCAGGATCAAGGTTCAGCAAGACAACCGCCATCCAGCACAACTTGTCAACTGGATTCCCACGTAACAGCGACCAAATTGCCTCCCGACCAACAACATCCTGAAAGAACTCACTTTTGTAGAAAGAAACAGTATCAACAAACTGTGGCCAGCATCTGCGGTATGCGGAGCCAAGGCACTTGTCCGTGACCAGCTGCAGCACGTCTTTGGCTGTGACCAGCTGGGACTCCTGCCACCGGGCAATCGCAAAGGCCACTTGCACCGGCTAATCAATTCGGGGGATGATTATGGAGTAGGCCTACCAACAAAAACAAGCGGAGGGCGCGCGCTGCACTCACGCGATTCTGCAAAATGAGTCGTTCCCGGTGTTTATCTCATGTCTGCTTCTGGGGGAATACTTTCAGCGATAGCATGCTACCATAATACCACCCATACCCTACCTGACATGGTCCGTCACCAACCACCCCCACCCCCTCTCCGGGCGCCTCCGCCTTCACCTGTCAAGTGAGGGAACGCCTAGCTCTTTGTGCTTTCCTAGCCCCCAGCTCTGCAAAGCCAAGAAAATACCGTTGGACCTGGGACAGGGTGCCACGACCAGACACCGAGTTCACCGCGTTGCTTTTTCTTTATGGATGAGGACTTCCCCCCAAAACCACTTGCGTGACACTTTGCGCACCCCTTCGGCTTCTCTTCAGCCGCGAGCTTGACCCATTGCCACGGCCGTGCTTTCAACCAGTCAACATGGCGAGATCTGGCACCACACGCGCAACAAGAAGGCAGAAAGAGCCAGGCATCAAGGCCGAACCCACCTCCCGAACCGAATCCAAGTGCAAGGTCCGCGCCTTCAGCGTTGGGCCCATGCCGCCCCTGCCAAGGGATCTGGTGAGTTGCCCTGCCCAGCCCACTCTGGAATTCAGGCAGTGAAGCACCCAAGAGAAGACCGTGTGAAGACAAATGTGTGCACTTGCTGCAATGCGACCAATGCTGCACATGCCTCTCGGTTTTCCTTCAAAGCCCAAGAAGGGTACCCTCAAAGCTGGTTGTGTTCCTGGGACGTGCAGCTACAAATCCCTGCACTCTCTGCCACAGAAACATGCCGGAGCTCTGCAAGACTGGGACTGCCAAAAACCTCCCATTTTCTTGGGGTCCTCGATTTGAAGACACGCCCCTCCAAGCTGAAAACCACAAACTGTTGCACACGCCATTAGCATCATTCTGGGTGTCCGGCGCTCGCGGCGGCGGTAAGGCCTTGTGGATGGGACAGAGGAGTGTGTCGCATCAGCGTTTTGGAGCCATAGCAAAAAGACCCATAGCCAAAGGAACGCCGAATGAACTTGGGTGTGTGTTTTTTGACAGTACCCACTTCATTGAACAGGGCAACCAGCTAACTATCATTAACTGGTGGCCATTCCCATAGCGTGTGCTCTGAAGCAGGGCCTGGTAGCTTACCATGTCAAAAACGCAAGGGGCACTATTTGTGAGTAATACTACGTAAGTGTGTTCGAGTCAAGGCATCAGAAACGTGTGTGAAGAGCAGGCTGAAGGGAAGTGAGTAGCTACACTGGTAGGAAGAACTTGCCACAGAAGACACAGGCGAGCTGAGAGACTCATATCTCAAAGGAAGCAAAATGTTAATTGGATTGGTTCCAGCCGTCTATCAACCCCCCTCGGCGCGAGGCGACGCCATGGGATGCTAGAGGCAGGTCCTCACCAACAAAACAGTGACTGTACCCACCTCCCAATATAAAGGCCCCAGAAAATTAGAATGCGGCTGTGGGGGTACTTTAAATAAAACTCAACTTAATCATGATTGAAGGAGTCAGCTATCAGTAACTACTTGGCCCCTCATTGTATCAGCCCCCCCCCCCCAAACCCCAGCACGAGATCATTGGGCCCACGCCTTTGGCGGCAGGCCGGCCTTCTCCCGCTCAAGTGCGTCCTAGGTGGCAGAACCGGTGCAATGCCTGAGCCCAGACCAAGAGACCAAGCCGTTCGCACTTCAAAAGAAGCTAAAGATGTCGACGACAGGTACCGGTGTATGCTTTAGCTCTGGGGCTAGGCTCCTGTCCCTTTCAGACCTGCCGAACTCTGCCCAAATCCAATGGGAAAGTGCTTTGAAAGGCAGCAGGAAGGAAAGCCTCCTCACAGACTTTGCTTGAAACTTGCGGAGGACAACACATGGTCATGGACGCCTCTGTTTCAAACACAATTTGTGCACAGGGCCTCCAAAACATGGATGCAGCGCCCACTATTCAGTGGGTAATCTCCATCGAATTGAAGTTTAAGAAAGTGATCTTCCCAACAGCTAGTTAATACTACCCTGCGTAGTAACGTGGAACTCAACAAGTGGCTTCGCCCAAAAGAAGGTTCTCGCGAAATGGATGCCTTTGACTGTTGCACGGCTCCACGTTCACCAGGTTGGTTCTTGCTTGCCCCAACTCCGCTTGGACGTGCGCCGAGAGTCCTGGTAGCAGAAGAGGAGCGTGGCGTGGGCCGTGCCTACGGCATCGTCAGAACGCCAGGCCTGCGAGTGGCGAGGAAGGTATGTATATACCTGAACCCTGCAACGATGGTCTTTTTGTCAGTCTCCCCTGAACATCTGACGCAGCCCGCGGCGCCCCTGAAAACATGACACGAAAGCGGCAAAAAACAACGCGAAAGCAACGCAAAACGACGCCAAAGTTGTGTCATTGAGTTGCGGTTTGGGTCTTCGGCTGAAAAATGCGAAAGCCTGGAGAACAAAACGTCTTTTGAAGGGTCCAGGTATGTGTATATATATATATGTGTGTGTGTGTGTATAGGTTTATGTATAAGCAGCCCCTAACCCTAAAACCCGAAACCCATGAAGGAGTTCATGCCTCTGTGCACCGAGTGCTACTTCGATACTTGTTGCAGGCTTGATCCATGTCAGTGGTCTCCCTCCAAAAACGGCTTCCAGCGGACGTGCCGCATCGCGGACTTTGTGAGAAGAGCAAGACTCTAGACTCTAGATCCTTCCTCAAACATCAAAATCGGGCAAACTTGGCAATGGCCTTCTGCACTTCTTATTCCAGGAGCACTGGGCAGCCCAATCACAGGGACCCCAAGGCCAACCCAGCAGCCGCTGGGTCCAAATTCATTCTCGACAAAACAGAGTTTTACCCGGATCCTCTTATTCTCGGACATGGGGTTCCGAGCAGCCACAAAAAGAGGGAATCCTGCCAAGTGTTAACCCCACCCTCTCCAAAAGCAAACATCTCACCACAACCCAGCCTCACTCATCTGCGCGGCCTGGTCAAGGGGCAAGGCAGCAGCAACAACCCGTCTCGCGCTCTTGGCCCGAGTCTCTGTCCACAAGCCGAGACGACTGCCTCGGCTCTTCTATGATGGGCTGGGCTGAGGACCAGGCCCTTTGAAGTGTCGCCAGGAGTCCGCGCAAGACGCAATCGTGCATTCGAGCCTTTTTTTTGCAGGGGGGCAAGCTAGCACCATTCCATGGTGCGCATGGTGGGGGATATGAGAAAATTGGTCGTCCAACCCTGTCCTTTCGTAGCAAGCATGCTGGCCAACCTAGCCGACACTAAACAACTGCACAGAAGGGAACAAAACATGAAACACGGCAATGCCAGCGCAGGCACTAATCAATATCCAATATCAAGCATCATCCCAGAATGGAGTGACGCTTGTTTCCCCGCCCCCAGGATTTAGTTTGGTTTGATGAGCGACCAACAGAGAAGCCTCCTTCCCTGCGCTCCGGGTAGTTCCTCCACGGTAGGGTCAACGGGACGACTGACCCAAGTGATCACAGCCGTCAGCCATGCGGTGAGAAAGGCAGCAGCCAAGGGCGGCATGCAGAAGCTGCACTTGCCACCCGTCGGCCGCAAGGCGCCCCACGCAAGTCAAAGGCGACCGAAACCCGCGACCAGGACTTTCTAGCCGGTAGAGCAAGCCTCAGGCCTGTTGCAAGGTCGTGCGAGCAATCCTCTGCGTTCTGGGGGCCTTTCACGGATGACCGGCTTTGGAACACGCTGGTATCAATATCAAACATCTGACTGACTGGCCGTGCGCGTGCGAGCTGTAACTATGCTACTATCCAAGCTCTGCGGCCCAGACCATTCCCTCAACCAGCAAGGCAGCACTGCAAAGACCACAATCACCAACAACTGAGCCCGCAAGTGCAAGAAGGGTTGCAGGAGCACAGCCGCAAACAGTCGAATGGTCGATTGCCGGCGCAAGCACAAGGTTGGCCGCGTGCACACACGGCCGGCGCTTTGCGCTGGCACCCACGCTGCAAGCCAAGCGCGCAGATGCTTGGAGCAGCTGCAGTCCAGCCACTTCTGGCGGGCAGGTTTCACACCTATGCCAATACAATTTGACCTAAGCAGCGCGACAACAGCAAGGCCGTGCGAAAAACACTTCATCTCAAAGGGAAACACGCACCGTGTTTTACCCGATTTCCCGTGGCCCAAATGCGTGCCTGCAATTGTCGTGGGAGTCGCTGCCGCGGACCATGGCACAGGCTCAGCGTGTGACCGGATGAAGCTGGTAGGGACCCCATTCTGTAAGCTGGGCTCCTTACCCGTCTACCCCCGCACCGCCCATGAGGTCAGGGTCTGCGTCCCAAAGCTTCGAGCCAAGACTCACCTGGGCCACTCGCCAGATGCGAAACGTGGCGAATGGAGCCAAATCCAGCGCATTCCCTTCCAAACGTGGCCCAAACGAATAACCCTCCATGTTGGAACCCAATTTACCCAGTGGGTCAGCACCGAGGCTTGTTTTCACGGAGGTCCAAGAGCCCATCTATCAAAACAGCTGCACCATATCTGGCAGGGACAGTCTGAAGTTTTGTTTAAGGTAAGAAAAGGGCGGGCCAGCAAGCGAACGGCAACTGAGAAGTATACCAATCCAAAGGGCACTGACCTTGACCAGTCAGAAGACCCATCAGAGCGGAACAGATTGAAAACCGCAGCAGCAGGGGGTGATCAGGCAACGCGTCCTGCACCGCCTTGCCCATCGCTTCATCCTGGCGGGTGAGGCTGAGCTTGACATTGGCTACACTTGAGCTGGAAAACAAACCCGTATCAAAACTCTTATCCCAAGTTGTTTTCATTGCAAATCCAGGCGGCGGTCTTCATAAGCATGAGGTCCCCCAATAGCATGCGTGTATACCCCCGCTGCAAACTGTCTGCTAACAAAGTCACTTGGCAAAATTGCTGGGATCAGAAAGAAAGACAATGCAAAATACAGAAATGGGCCACTCCTGCTCCAAGCAGTTTGGGGGCATCTGCGTGCTGTGCGCAACTTGCGCGGGACGTGCGCGAAAACTTGTTAATCTTTGGGCCATAATCACACCTCCGAGTGTGCGGCAAAGGAACATCGCTCAATATACTTGACCAGTCATCTCTCATGTCGTTTCATTAGCCACAATGATGAGGCAATTCAGACCTAGCTCCCTTGACAAAAGGCAGGTCGGCGTTCAACCAACTTGCATGCCCTCCCAGCCGGCCCCGCGGCTCATTGTCTCCCAGTATTCCGTGCAGGCGTCTTCTGGTTGTCGGGCGCCCTCCAAACAAAGGGGCAACAAATCCTGGCTCTTTCTCAAGCCCGATCAGGCGTACACACTCCCTGGAATTAAACAGGAAGTCCGTGCTCTCAGAGGTCCCTCTAACATGGAAGTCCCTCGACCGTCTTTTTCTGGGAAAATGCCTGTCTTTCTTTTTTTTCTTGCTGGGAATGTACGACCACCTCCTAACATAGAAGTTACATAGGGTACCCCTCGTCACGACAATCCCGGGATGTTTTCAGGAACCCTAGTTTCTTGAGGGAACCAGTTTCAAGCCTGCACTTCCATGTAAAAGAAAACATGTGAGTGAAAACGAAAGTTCTGACCCACGAAAGTGTCCTAACATAGCACCTGAAAATAGGCCCTACACTTCCGTGTAAAGGAGGTGCAATTTCGCATATCCCTGCGAAAATTCGTGAACCGGCATTTCCCCGGTACGCTTAAAATTACGGTGTGTGTCCGCCCGCTAATGCTAAGAATTGCAGTGGGGTTCTGGCCCAGTTCTAGAAGGGGTGTGGGGAGGGGGGAGTTCAGTTTGTGTTAGGGGGACGGGGGGGGGGGGGTAGGGTTAGTGGGGGGTTTGAGGGAGAGGCCTGGAATTAAGCGAAGCTTTTATTTTTTTTGCAGGTTAGTCAAACAAAAGCATGTTTTGGATAATCCTAACACAAAAGTCCCTGCGGTGTTTTTGTCGACTTCCGCATTTCAGAACACGAAGCTGACTTCCCACGATGGTTTGGGCACTGGTGCCCTCAACAACCAGATCTGGCAGCGGTCCTTTGCCCTGCATGTTGTTATTTTCTTTGCCTTTTTGGCAAGTGCACCTAGTTCATGCACAGAAATGTGGTCGAACTGCCAGGTATGTCAAGTCGAACAGACTGCATGGCGCAACCCTATGGACTTGGGACCAGCATGCATAGTCATCCTATTCAAAGCCTGGCTTCACAGGGGTCTGCCCCAAACCATGCTAAAACAACCAAAAGGGCGGCGGCACCTGTTTCTGGTTGGGACTGTGCCCGTGCCAACCTTCAGTTACCCGAGTTTTGAGGAAGTGGCTATTCTGACTCAAGTGGGATGCTGTGGAAAGGAATGCGGCAAGTACGCCTTCCTTGAACAGCAACCAATCGCAGCAAGAACGTGAGAGACCGGCCGGTCGAAACTCAAAGCCAGGCTGTTCGATTGCAGCTTTCCTTGATTTGGCAAACAAGCCACGGCCAGGAAGCCAAACATCCCAACACCTAGCTACAGAATCTCTTTAGGTGCAACCTGAAAGCAGGAATCCCCGGGCAAGTCGCTTCGCCGAAGAGGTTGCACCTATCGGATCCCTGCAAGCTATTGGCTCAGCACCTCTTCAAGCGCCAGAGAGCAGACTGGGGAGCCTGCCAAGCGCAATTATCAGGAAGCAAAAGCGGCTCAAGAATGCCAATTCTACGAAACTCTCTGATGGACTTTTGAATGGCCCGGACCCTTTGGTGCGGACATCATTTCGGTGGGGAGATATGTCCAGCTACCACTTTTGAGGTGTCTCCTTATGGAAGTTCATAGCCATTGTGAGACAAGCAGAGCCCTAACCGGGACCAACTGCGCCAGCGTGGCATCAAGGTCAATGGACAGTTTGCAGCGGAGCATCCGAGGGCTCAAAAATGGGTTTCCGTTTGGCCTCCCTTCAAACCACAGCAAAACGGGTCCTCCAAGAAAGACTACACCCATATTGGAAACTGAAATTCTAAAGGGCTACAAGCCCAGCTCGTGGTCCATCGGAATCTGGTAAACACATGGCCGAGGCCTCGCGTCAATCCAAACCAACACGCGGACAACCAAACAATCACAGCAACTGCCTGACTTCTTGTTGTGTACTCCGATGTTTTCTTCGCTCTCCAGAAAGTCCCCTTACCATGTCTTTCCCCTCAAAACATCATCAACCTCATACCTTCGGGTCTTTGGGGTCCTGCCCGTGCAGCCCCACCCAAACACATCCCCATGTCACTCGCATTCTGCCCGATCGAACATCAGAAGCCCCATCCATTCTGGCAGCCGCCCAGCGACGCGCTCCAATCACTTCCCCCCCGCTGACGCCTTCCGATCGACCCAAGGCGTCACTTGCGTCTGTGGGCCGCATCCCCGGGAAATCTGTCCATGTGCCGCTGCAAGGCCTGGCAAAGGAGCAAGGCGCCAGTACTCACCAGCCCTCAACATCACCGCTGCAAATGGGATCGCAAATGCCCGATGGATCGCAACCAAGCATGCGACAACGCACTCGTTGCCGCATCGGGTCCATTTCAGGCAGTGTGCCCCTTAAAATCGTCGCTTTCCAGGCCAAATTAAACAAAGGCAGCAAAGGCCCGCAAAGACTGCCGGGCACCACACAAACATCAAGCGCGAAGATCTCCGGGTCTGCGTTCATCGTACTCTTCTAGAAAACCGTAATTGAGCATCCAACGAGCGTAGGGCAAGCACAAAGGACAAACCACAACGCCAGGGGCGCTCAATGGGGCAAGGGCCGAGCACGTTCTTCCCAAAATGTTTTACAATGCGCTGACCTCTTCCAACTCGAGGTTACCATGCCAAGGGGACAATAGAAAGAGAATCGGCCTCACGAATAGCCACCATTCTGTAGTCTCTCTTTTCAGGATTTCAAATGTTAGAATGGTGGGGAAAGCAAGGACAGTCCTGAATTCACTTTCGTTCATTCGGTATCTCCCGCTCTCTCTACGTCAATGATATGCAACCCAAAGAAACATGCAATTGGCGGGAGAACGGGTAAAAACTGTTAGATCCTGGCCTTCTCTGTGCCACAGGTGTAGCCGCAAATGCACCCCAGCTCAATATCGTCGTCGACGGGCCGCGTGGGGCCGTTCCTTAAGCCAATAGAACAGTAGTCGTCCCAGAGTCAGCAGGGCTGTTGTTCGAGAATCGCGAAGCAGCTGAAATCAGCTGAGAACAAAAATGGGGAATCTTCCAAAGGCCCATAAATGCCCATGAGGGGACTCACGCAACCCACCTCGGCTCCCAAGCAAACTGCCCGATTGTCTATCCCTTGCTCCGCTTGAGACGTCACTGCTCCATTTTCCCCGCATGAGATTCACCTCCTCCAAGCAGAAAAGCCCGGCACCGAGGCCATCTTGCGTCGACCCAACCCAGGCCATGTCTGTGGCCGACCTTCCCAAGCCAAAGCGTTCAAACTATCAAGCTGCAACTGGGCGAACAATGTGTCTTCAGTCTATGGGCTGCTTTTGATCAAACAAATAAGGGTCTGTCGTTTTTTTGAGGGACCCCTTCTTTGCGGCTTTGAAAGGGGAACCAAGAGGAAAACCCCAGTTTTGGGGGGGTGCCCTAAAAAGGACACACCCACAAACACATCAGGTCCTTCCCGCTTGTCGGCTTTCACGAGGGCTGTGTCACTGCTACACCTTCCGAAATCGATGTGTTGAACTGTGGCCAAGCCTCAGGCCAACGTCCCGTTCTCAAATCTATCTTGCCCACATTTCATATCCTACTGGGCACCTGCCAAACCTAACCGCACCGAGCCGAGCAAACCATGTCAGCCACAGTCAATATTTGTGGTGTCCCCAATGACATTGGATTTTGGTTTTTGTGCCCGAAGTCATCTTCTTTACTACCCATAGATGACCGTAAATATTGACCGTTGCTCATATCCCAAAGACCTTTCCTGCAAGTTGCCGAAGTCCCACTACCTCTCGGGCAAATTAAGTCACCATTGCAGGCAAGGCTCGGCCTCCTGGCTTGGCTGTAGCCGGCATCCTCCTGGTTTCAAGCTCTTGGTGAGGGATGCCAAGGGTGGATTCTCTTTGGACGGAACCGGCTTTCAATGGAAGACAGCAACCCTTTTCCAGACGACAGGCCTTCCAACAGCTGATTGAATGCACTGCAAAGCCAGCCCACCCATCCTCGAAAAAGGGCGGCTCACCGACCCCGTTGGCAGCCAAGTGCCTGGCAGTGAGTAGCGACAATCTTCTGAAACTGGGCTCCTTAAAAGACGCATTCCAAAGGAAAGTCGTTACTTGAATCAGCACAATGTAATGGGTGTCATTCACCGTCAGCAGGTTTCCTTTTTCGGTTCTGGATCCTTGTGGAAGCTTCAACCATGTTTGTCGAGACGAACTGCTGGGATATGTGAATTTGCTCATGAGTTGCCATAAGGGGAAGGGCAAAAGACAACAACCAAATAGAGCTTGTCTGGCGTGAGCCTGCTGCCCTTCCGTCATTTGACATGCCCTGGTCCTGATTCCCACTTCGCGCAAAAAGAGATGACCAGAAGGGCCCAGCGGCTTCTCGGTTGACACGCGGTTGGCAAAAATACATCAACGCCAAGTGGCCAAGTGGTGGTTAGGCTTACCCATTGCCAAAATGGTTTGCGTCCAGCCTCATGAGCCCAGCCAAGTCCGGGTCCATACCGCCCATGCCGCCCATGCCGCCCATGCCGCCCATGCCGCCCAACAGATCCTGCGGTGGCCACGCGAGCCACGTGTTAATTCTTGGTGAACCATTGGCAGCTGGCTCTGGTTTCAACTGATGAAGCCTCAACTCCCTCTAAGGCCCTCTGTTTTTCCCATCCGACTGCCGGCCAAAACCACTGGACCCTCCCACAAGCTTCACCTTCCGTCCTGCAGCCCTCCAAGGCCGCCGCCGCCCAGCAAGTCCTCGCGCACGCGGCATTTTGCAGAAGAGCCACAAGGTGTTGGCCTATGCGTTTGAAGGGCGGGCGCAGCCTGCCGCGGTCTTTGGCCGGGCTGTATTCCTAATGGGCCCCCAAAGCGGACAAGGCCACAAGATTTGGGAATTGAAGAAATCAGCGGCCAGTGCCGCCCGCCTCTCTGCCCAAACAGGTTTTCAGACTGCGGACAAATTCCAGTTCGCACCACTTGGAACTGGTGGTTTGCGCCCAGCTTTCAAATCGGGTTTCATCCATCCCAACTGACGCAATCGGCGTGGATGTTGTAACCAAATCACGTCGAAGCAGCGGCTGCCAAGGCCTAGGGCCACGTTGTCCCCAGCACCATGGCCCAACTGCCGAAAAGAGCAACTCTTCCCCAAGCAGCTCTTTGGCCCATGGGCCATGGCTTCGAACGGCGATTTCTGCGGGGAAAGCCTTGGGCCCTCGCACGCCCCGACGGCCCTCTGGCTCACTCCACCCGCGAAGGGTCCCAGGGTGCAAAAGAGCGCGTCTTGTGATGAGATCCTTGCAGTTTCAAAATCTCAGGGCTTACCAGATGTGCGGCTGCTTTCTTTGCCTGTGTGTGTATGAAGTCCGCCCCATCCACAGGAACGGTTTTTGGTCCCCTTACTGGGTTCAATGGATTTGGACCAGCATTGCATGTGCTGTCGGCTTGTGCATCAATGAGCTTTGCGTATCGAGAGTCTCCCCACACTTCTTCCAGGTTTTCTCTATGTTGATACTTTTGCCCTCTGGCCGTTGTATCCCGCAGTTGGTGGGCGTCTTCTTTGTTTCCTTTAAAACCGACGAAACATGAATCCCGCCAAAAAGACGCCCATATTATGTCTTTGATTGATTTGCGTCGATTTGCGGAGGAGTATTCGACAGTTTGTCTCAGCGTAGGCGGAGAGATTTGGGTGGTGTTTGAATTGCCGACCAGGCTGTCGCACTGCCATCAGCTCTGTGGATAAGGCCAGGAAAGCTTTGGCTCTTGACGATCACGTCAGGGACCACTTGCGACATTATATATGCCATTTGTTTGATGGTTAACTAGGTATTGGCCAATCGAAAGTACAATGTAATGTGTATGTGATTTCATTTGTTATAGGAGTCCCTTTGGTGACATCATATGGATACTTGTGTCCACTGTGTCTTAGCGGGTGTTCGCAAATACAATTTGTGGGCATGTCGCCAGAGCTGAGCAAATGACATGAGTTATTTGATTTGCCCCAATCTGGTTCGTTGCAGAGGCCGAAAAACAATGGAGGGCGGAGGGCTGTGCTGGTAAGACTGGCATGCCAGCACCATGGCTGGGTTGGAGCTTGGATTGCCACGGAATGAACATCCGCTCCAGATATCAAGGCATGGGTTGCGGGGTGCGTGCCCTGCATACAGACCATAAAGATACACTGTTCTTCGAACCTCCTGAGGCCCAAAGAATTCTCAACTGCTTCATGGTCTGGGCCCTTGACTCGAACCGAAGCGTCTCCTGCAAGCCCTCGAGGTCGCCCCCAAGGCCACCCATCAGGCCGGGTCCTGGATTCTCCGAAGGACTCGGTCCATTTGGGGGTTCTTTGTCATGTTTTAAAGTGTGGACCCCCCAAAACCACAACAAAGAACCCCCAACAAAAACGCACCCATATGATAGGGGTTCCCGGCAGCCAAATTTTAGCGCGGATGCAAAAAACGGCCTGGAAAACGGGGTCGACCCCAATCCAAACCCCAAAGCTTGAAGTCAGGTCCCATCCAGGCACCCTGGCAATATAGCATCTGCAAGCTCCCGCGAAACCTTGAAGGGTGTCTCATCAAGCAATGTCCACATAGGATAAAGCATGCACCCGGAATGAAGACAAAGGGTGGCCCAAAACAAATAGCAAATGCACCTGGAATGCCTGCCCCCCCCCCCCCGCCCATATTTTTTCTACAAAAGAAACACCAAAAAAACACGGAAGAAGAGACTGAGAGCAAGCAGAGGAGAGGTTGCCAAGCCAACACCTGGTTCTCGGAACTTTGGTACCTTGTTCTGCAGCTTACTAACATCCAAAATCTCAAAAGGAAGCTCCTGCAATGTTCCTTTGTTGGGCGGAAAGCAAGAGATCAATTGCAACAAGGTGTTCCGCAATGCATGGTTTTGGAGATGAACAGCGGATTGGCTGTCAAACCGAAGCTAGGCATTTCTGCAAATCGTGAGAGCGGCCTGCATCGCATCGTTAGACTCTCGTCCGAACCAAGTGCGAATGGCCTGCAGTGGGGAATATGTCGAAATACAGTCCTGATGCGAGATTTGGTAGCTCCGCTTCACTCAGTGGGAATGTGGCGCGCGCTCCCCCACATACCGGAGCGAAGGGGACAAGCAAAGATCCACGCACGCCGGGCTGCCAAGATGGCGTCGCAAGTGAACAAAAGAAGACAACCCTCCCACGTTGTCTGGCGAGTCCTTCGCCAAATCCACCCAAGGAATTCAGCAGCTCCTCTTCATCTTCTTCCTGGCGCTTGGCTCGCGGTTCCGTCCAAACAAAAGCCAAGACAATGAAGGGCAAAGGCCCGTTTGGGAAGATGAGGGCTTCTTTTTCTAGACTAAACGATCGCCCGATCTGATTTCAGAAAGGCGGTGAGATGCGTATCCATCCCCGCGATCCACTTTCGTTCTTCACTAGTGGCTTCTCCAGCTTTCGGCGTTCCTTTCATGCCAGGGTCACAGGTTACCTCTGAGTCGTGCTGGATTGACCCCTAAATTGAGAACTTTAGTCCGCCCTTCTTGCAGAGGGGCATGACCACGGGTGATGACACCACTCTGCGTAACTGGCGATGAGAATATGGGGACATTCAGGGCTTCCTTGCAGAGTTTACTACCAACATCCGAGCACGCAAACTATATTGCCCCACATATGAACAAGATAAGGCTTGTGGAGAAACTGTTGGAGCAACAAGCCCGAAACTATTCATGTAGGTAATATCGACCAATAAGATTTGACCCAACCAAGTGATGTCGGTAAATATGCCATGCGCGGAGCATTTGAGAACAAACAACTTGTTAACATACTTTTTGAAAAGACCTCCCTCAATTTCTAAGCCTTCGCGCTGGCCTGATTCACCATGAAGAAATCTCGGGCAAACACAGGAACTGTCTCCATTTGGGTGGCACATCCTCAACGTGACCTCTACCCTCTTTCCAATCATGGCAGGGGACAGAAATCTTCCCCCAAAAAGGAAGGTAGTCTTCCAAAAACCCCTCCCCATCAGCTTCCATGGTTGGACGGCGAATGGCTTCAAGGGAAACAACCTCAAAACGGCCTGTTTGAGAACGCCTGAAAATCTTCGCCCTTTTCGGAACCAATTTGTTTCATCAATAGGGTCACGGCCCTCCAAACCTTCGCCCCCGGCCCCACCTCATTGAGGTCGTCAATGCGCAGCTTCACACGGCGCAGGAGCCGGGGCCTTCGGGACATCGAACAGTGAAAGTACTGGCCAAGTTTCTTGTTTTAAGGATGACTAAACCAACATGATTCGTCCATGTACATCTTCTCAACTGTAGCTGAAAGCTACAAACAGCCACGCTTAGATGTGGAGTCGGGGCGAGTCTCCTCATTGCCAAGTGCCAAGAGTTTTCGGCCTGCTCGAATTGACAAAACAGCCGGCCTGTCACCCATCAGCTTCTCTGACTGCTCCATACTGATGCCCAGCACCTGTTTGGCAACCTGTTTCTTTAGGGTTCTTGCGGCCCAGCAACTCTGAGTGTCCCCAGGACTTCTTCTTTTTTGGTGTGGGAGTTTTGACTCATTGCCGAGCAAGATGAAGTTTTCAAACTTTGGCATTCAAATGGCTGCAAGATGCTGCAAGTCTCAAGTCCAGAACCTTGGCAAATAAGTTACATCCGGTTCAGCTTCCAAGTGGAAGCACGCGCAATCCGCCCAGCTTGAGACGCGTGGCGACCTGGGACAACTCTTCCGTGAAAAGGAGACCTCTGAGATTAGCAGGGTGTAATTTTTGGGGCTGCCAAGGGAAACCTCCTGGAGGTTGCATTCAAAACAAACCAATCAGCATCCTTCACAAAGAAATAGAAAAGTGCAAAGGGTCCCTCCCCACAGGGACCACTGTCACTGGCGGAGGGTTCCTGCCTCGGAGACCCTCTTGGCATCAACCGCCAGCGGCTTCACAGCACCAGCCTCAGCGAGAGGCGAGAAGTTCCCCCTGGACCCAGCCCAAGTTCTCAACGCCTTGGTAGAAGCCAGTGGAAACCAGCGACAGTTTGAGCTATTGCCTTTTAGTTTACTACGATAGCAGGCAAGAGGGGGCACTATCATACAAAACCTGGAACTCAACATCCCTGGTCACCCGCCATAATTAGTTGTAACTGGAAGCACTGGGCTGCGAGTTGAAATTTCCCGAGGACCTGCGCGTTCAAACCGCAGCCGCGAGGCTTCGGCTGCGCCATCGGGAGCCTCCTGTGAAAGTACGCGGTACCTCAGCGTGCGGTCATCCTTCAGGTGCGTTTATGCATTTGTTCTGGGATGGGATATTGTAGTTGCTATAGTTGCCAACCACTTGTCTGCATCTTTTGCCCCAACTGAATTCAGAGGTCTTCCGTTGAAAGGCCCAATTGTGAGTCCACCTGAATGGATGTGTTGCTCTGATGTTTCCACAGCTGTTAAGTGCCTCGATTGGCCAACCCCAAGCAAATCTGGCCTGGCCCATCTGCCCCAAACAAGCTGGCGGACAGCCAAACAGAGTTGCTGGATGCGGAATTGGTTGCGTGGCGTACCTGCGATGTGCTAATTCACGCAAGCGTGCCAGAACCATTTTTGCGATGCTGCTGCGTGCATTAAAACTCCAGTAGGTTGTTCGTCGTGACAGGTCTTCCTGCTGAAGACAGCGCATACTGCGTGCATCGTCAGGTTTTGACAAGCTTCCTGCGGGACCGTGACCGAGCTTTTTCCGGGCGCTTTCCAGTGCTGCTTGGCACTAGAACGTATTTTCCTGCACACTTCCGTCTCGGGCACGGCCAGTGTCTGATTCTCCGGTGCTTCGGATGGCAAAAGAATCGCGGGCAGCGCAAATCTAGAAATACTCAGCCAGGGACTCGAAAACAACAAAAAAGGGCATCCGACCACAGGGTGTCACCCACAAATCCGGATTCGAAGGGCCTTCGGGACACCTCCACAGATAGCATTGCGCCCAAGCCGCAACTCCAGGGCTTGATCCAGCTCCTTGGCCTTGTCCACCCGTTTCTGCATGTGCGCACGGATGTCCGGCACACCCGGCACCTGGCCAAATGCATGCCATCCACAGCCCGCGTGGTTGAAACGACACGAAAACGACCTGATGCCTAGGTCTTGCTCAAACAAGGAAATTTAGCCGCACGCAAAACCCGGCGGTCATCAAAGGCAGGAGGAACATCACAGCGTTTCCGCTTGACTGGCCCTTGCTGTGCCCCCTTGCACCTCATCAAGTAATAAAATGTCTTGTTGTGCTCCCTTGCACCTCCCAATGATGTCAGAACATAAACGACAACAAACTCTGCGCCGTCTTTGAGATCCAGGCCGCCTTGGACATGTCTGCTTTGCTGCCATCTGGCATCACAAATTCCCCAGTGGAATCGCCAATGCCAGTCACCTGCTTCATGAAGGATTCAAAGGACGCTTTCCTCAGACAGGTTCGACAGCACGCAGCAACGTGCCCTTGTGGGATTGAGTGCTCGAGTTTGCCTGCCCGGTCTCATTTCTAAATGCCGTTGCTCTGGCCGCAGCCGAGATGTGCGGCGGTCAACAATCAAGAAAGGGCTGGCTGTGCGCAGCATCTCGGAGAAGTCAAGCAATAAACTGAGACAAAAAATCATCATTGAACACACAAACTCAATAAACGTGGGCACCCCCTGACCCTCCTTCCCGTTACAACACGTGATGTTGGCTCACTTGCGATATTGAGCTACGCCACGTAAGGATGTGTAAGGCCAAATCCGAACAGCCCAAGCGTCATGCCCTTGAGGGTCTCTTTTGCCCACTCCTCGCAGTCATACTGATGTTTCTTCTCGAAGTGCGCCAGCATTAGCCGCTTGCTGGAGCCCACGTGCTGGCCTGTGCTTTGCATGACCACACACGGCATGGACCGAACAACCGACAATCAAAGAGCCACAAGCTGGAAAAAGGTTCTCCCCAGAAAGTTCCCCCTAGATCAATTCCTGCCCCACCAAACTCAAAACGCAATGCCCAATCCATGTCTTCCAAATCAACGCGGCCCCAAAGGCGCTGGGAAGGAAGCTACAGCCATGGGGCAAAGCTTGCACTGCAGCTTGCCGCCACTGGGCGCTACACTCCTCGGCTGTGAGGCCACTCTTCCACGATGACCATCCTGCCCCATTGCGGGAATGACAGGGCAGATGTGAAAAAGGACGTGACTCTCTCCCATTAATGGAGGTTGATCTAAGGCGGGTGGTGATTTCACAAGGCGTTCCCCCCCCCCCGCCAGGAACTACCAACCCGGCATCTCGTGGCTTCTAGCTCCTGAGGTAGCAACATAGACGAAGCAGTCCCTTCTACTATCGCTCGTGTTGAGCCTGACTTGATTGTCTATTGATTACTAGAGCTTTCCCTTTGAAAGGGAACCCCTTGATTACTCACCGGGTATTTGATGCTTTTTGCTGTGTTTACTTGCGCTACATTGGTAGCATTATTTGTCATAACAGTAGTGTGTGGTGTTGCTTCAATGCATCAGTTGCTATTGGCAAAATAATAATAATAATAATGATAACAATAATAGTAATAATAGTAATAAACATTATTATTATTAATAATTATAATATAAAGCCATACGTATATATATATATATATCATGTATTGTACATGAATTAGATGATGTATATTCTGCGTAGATGCTATTACGCATCAACTGTCACATATTTCAAAGTGTTAAAATGATGGAAAGAGATATTTCTGGGGTCAGATGTTCAACCAGCATGAATCCTAGAGAGGTTGGGCCGCTAGCTTGCCACCAAGGCGTCTCTTCCATAAACTGCAGCATCTTTTCCTCAATTGCAGCAACCCCTGCACCATCAGCAAAGGGCCGAAACACGTTTGGCGAACCGAAAGGACGGCACAGGGGACAACTCACAAGTAGAGATTGTGATGAAGTCGCCTCATCGTTGCTCCAGGGAAGGACGGATTGCATCATATCGTCCACAACGCCGCCATCCTCCATCATCTCCCCGACCCACATGTTCATGAACTGGTCCATGTCGAAGTCCTCTAGGTCCATATCACCCGACTTATCATACCTCCATCGAATTCAGAGCTGCAAGACTTGTGCACAAAGCTGGTCAATAGAAAAGACGAACCCAAAAAGAACCCAACAAAGTCCTGCTAGGTCTGGCGATGATGCTTTAAGCGCTTCTTGTCATCAGACAAGATGGAGTACGCCTCCGTGATCTTCTGAAAAATCGGCTTTGCATCGGGCGAGGAGTTCTTGTCCGGGTGGTATCTCAACGACTTCTGCCGGTAAGCCTTCTTTAGCCTCGGCAGTGGAGCACGTTTAAAAGGAGGCACTGCTCGCATCTGGGGTTGAGGTAGTCAATTAATATGTGCACCGTCCGTTGACAAGCTTGTCTTGGCTTGGGCAGTAACTATATGAGACAGCGTCAAAATTACTTGTCTGGGGTGTATTCATTCGGTGTTAGGACGTCCCGTATCGTTTTACAGGTTTTGCTTAAAAAGGACGTCCCGTATCGTTTTGCAGGCCGTGGATACGGGACACATCCCTGCCCCGTGCTTGCTACTAAACAATTCTTTGCGGAGACAGCGCCAACGTAACAGCAACGGAATGGAAGCTCCCGCAAGCGGGCGTTCCCTGGTATAAAACCACACGGCGGCCAAAGCGCAATCCCTGCAAGCAAAGCAACTCACACCACGGGCCGCAGATTCCTTTTAGTCCCCCTCAGAGATTGAGTTAGAGCTTGAGGAGGAGGAACTTGCACTTGACACAGAGTCCTCCTCCAACGGCTGTTGCGCCGCTGCTTTTGCCTAGCTTTGCACCTCTTCTCAATCAGCTCTCCCCCCTTGCTGGGTCTTGCTGGGTCTGCCACGCTTTCTCTCATCGTTGCCTCCTCAAGTCCTGCCTTTGTCCAGCGAGTGCGCCCCATGCTGTCTCCCAGTCTCGAGGCAGTTTCAGGCCCGCAGCACCGCCGGCGCTGGAGCTGAGAGGCTGGCTTCCTCACTGCGGTGGTCTTCTTCACCTTCTCGTGGGCACTCTTCGCGATCACCTTGACAATTGCTTTTCCGCGCTGTTCGGCTCAGCTTTTGGAGCCGAGACACACACTCCTCAACCCATCGTGATTCTTCCTGTGTCAGCCCAGCACCGCCGGTTTGTGGCTGCACGGCTGCAAGGCTGCCTGGATTACAACGCTTGCCCTCTCCAGCATTGCAGTTCTTTCACAAGCCACCCCCAAATGTGTGTCTCCTCGTAACTGCAGGGGTAGCGCTTTGGTGTCAAGTGGGCCACCCCCGACATTTAGCATCCTGGCCCATTGCGGGGGTATCGTCGGGGTATCGTTTTGGGGTATCGAATTGGTGGTCGGTCTTTTTCTGGAAGCGGCGCTGTTTGACAACTGTCTTACTTCCGCTCTAAGGAGCCTCAGAGAAGCGCTGGAGCGTGCAAAATGCAATCCTGCAGTTTGCTTGCGGCCGAAGAAAGGTAACCTCCCAAGCACCTTGCGTGGCCAGCAAAAGGGCAAGCCAGCGGGACATCCTCAGAACGCATAGCTGCCGTCTTGGTTTCCGTCTATGGACGCTCCACCCTCCAGCTCTCGCGCTTTCTAGCCTTTTTCGTAGCTTTTTCACGCGCAGAGCATCTAGTCTTAAAGATCACGCGCAGATGCGCGCTCGCTCATTTAGTTCCAGTATTGCGCAAGTTCCTTCTAAACTTCGTTGACCAAACGGAGAACTACAGTTGCGCCCCCTCTAAACTTCCTACTTTTACATCCCCTTCAAAAACGCAAACGCTAGAAGAAAGACTTTTGCCCAACTACAACTCGTAATGCTTCTTCCTGGCCGGCAGTTACCCCTGCAATGTGGTGGACACATGCTAGAAACATTCGCCCCGTTCAAGCACAGCTTGTTTTTGCCACACGTGTCTTGTCACAAGCCAGCTGGTGCTCCAAATGTGAAGTTCCCTTTTGATCCCCCTGCCCTGCAACCCTTGCAATGGAAGGGCCTAGTTGCAAGTCTCGACCAAGCAAATAAACACATGCTCTAGGAGAACTCACAAACTAACAAGACATTTTTGTTTGCAACCAATGCCAACTTGCTGAAGGGGTATCGTTTTTTTGGACGTCCCGTATCGTTTTTCGAGCAAAAACGCAAACACAATACGTGCATGAAAAACCCCCATATAAAGTACATGACGGTAATTTTGATGCTAACTCATATGAATACGTAGAGGCATATAAGTATAGAGATAAACAGGTCACTCATCAAAGCAAAAGTATCTTGGGGGATGCCAAAGCCCGGCCAAGCCCCGTCCTATGCCCGATGCATGTTTCTTCGCTGACATGCATTTCTTGCCATCACAAGCACCATATCCTGATGCAAATGAAGGGTCCTTGCCATGCTTTGAGCATCAGGGCTCCCTAATTATATGTCCTTTCAAACATCGCTCCAACAGGAACCTCGCGTCTAATTGGTCCAAAAGGTGATGATGGCGATGTTTAAAACATGGGAAGAGGGAATAGAGGGACTCCTGAACATCGTGGCCCAACGGACATCCCAAGCCCAACATCCAAGCAGCTCATCGGGCTTCGCACCTCTAGGTACCTCGGCCGCCGAAAGCAACCTCCGTGAAGAGCCACTAAGCAATGAGTTGTCGTTGGTTCTCCTTTAAACACCAAACCAAAAACAACAGGGTTCCCTCAACAGAGACACGCCCCTTGACCGAAATGCAAAGCGAGCCCAGCGGACTGCAACGGCAGTCCAAGCTATCGACACATTGCGGGCGAAGCGCCCCAAGGATCTTGTACAAGTCAGTCTCGTTTAAGAGATCCACCTCAGCCTGGCGCGCTGAGCAGCATGCTAGCAACCATTGAATTCCTTCACCAATCTGCAGCTCAGGCCGTGCTTGGCAAAATACGCAAAAAAGAAGCATCGTGCGCACAAACGCATAGTCTGACTTCAATGTTCTGACTGGCAAAGGACAGCTTCACACATGTGGTTCAACAGCTTGGAAGGAACAATTGGTTTTAGCATGTCAGCTGCATGTCCGAGGCGGGTCAGCCTGGTTGGCCATGAGCCAAATGCATTCCAACTCGTGCCTCCTGACTCCCCATAGCTCACGAGCACACGCGTCGCGCAGGAAATGGGGCTCTTCCTATCCACGGAAACTGTCCGGTCACCGGGCTTGCGAGACATGATCTTCCAGGAGTCTTCTTGAAGCCGGAAGATCCCATGAATTACTTCGGTGGTGTGTCTTACCATGCTTTCGGGTGGAGGCCTTAGAATGCTTTCATTGGTGTTTGGTGATCATGTACTGGGCAGCTGCACTGCAATCCTTGAGCCGGAGCAGATTCTAAGCCGATGGCCACACCTACGCGCAGCAAGTGGACCCTCCAGTCAACCCACACCAAACATCACACGACCACATCAAACCGAGCAGCAAATTAAATTCCCAGCCCCCCCCCCCTTCCCCACCCGACCTTGACAGTGCCTATATGCATTTCCAGGTCTCCGCCCCCTTATTCCAATTGTCCCTTTTCCAGGCGGAACCTTGAAGTCAGACTATGCGACCCCGCCATGACCCAGCAAACATCACCCAGCTGCCATCCGGCCGCGATGCCGCGATCCGGCCTTCAGGCCGTGATCCAGCCACGATCCGTCTGCGATCCAGTCGCGATCCGGCATCAGGCCGCGACCCGGCCGCGCTACAGCCAGGATAACAATGATTTCTCTGGTGGAAATGTCTCGTCGCCAGTATGTGCCAAATCTGCTACCGGCCGCGGGGCGTAATTTGCCGACCTGTCGGCGGATGTTTTGATGAAAATCTGCTTGCGCGGCCAAGAATCTGCTTCTGGCCGCGCGGCGTAAGCGGATTTGTCCGAAACACCTGCGGGGGCGATGCAGATAGCACACGCTGAGGCAGGTGGCAACAAGCCAGGCGCAGCTGTTAACAGGGCATAGCTTGCTTGCGACATCTCGGTGCAGCTTGCCACATTCTCGGCGCGGCTCTTCAACAGCCGGGACACGGCGTGGCTTTCAACACCCCCACAGGCCCAGGCACAGCTTCCAACCGCCCATGCGGCGGCTACCAACAGACCCGGCGCAGCTGTCAACAAGCGCAGGCCATCAACATCCAAAGCAGAGCTGTCAACAACCCAGGCAGGGCTCGCAACAGCCCAGGCGCAGCTTTCAACATCCCAGCCACGGCCGTCGACATCCCAAACACCGCCTTCAACATCCCAGTTAGAGCTTTCAATGGCCAAGGCACCGCAACCAACATCCCAGGCGCAGCCTTCAACATCCCAGGCAGAGCTTTCAATAGCCCAAGCGCAGCTTGAAAAGGACAGGCGCAGCTTCAACATACCGGGCATGGCCTGCAAAGATGCACGTGTTAAAATGCATAAAACAAACATGCACGGGGTACCTAGGTCCTCCCCCTCTACGCACTTTTCTGGAATGGGGATGCCGTCTTTGAGAGCCAGGCCGCCTTGGACATGTCTGCCTTGCTGCCATCTGGCATCACAAATTCCACTCGCCAATGCCAGCCAACCGCTTCATGAAGGATTCGTGGGACGCTTTCCTTAGACGGGTTAGCACGCAGCAACGTGGTCATGGAGTTTGCCTACCCGGTCTCATAAGAAAGGGCTGGCTGTGCGCAGCATCTCTGAGAAGTCAGGCAATAAACTGAGACAAAAAGCCATCATTGAACACACAAACTCAATAAACGTGCACCCCCTGACCCGTTACAACACATGGTGTACAACATGTGGTTGGCTTACTTGCAATATTGAGCTACGCCACGTAAGGATGTAAGGCCAAATCCGAACAGCCCAAGCGTCATGCCCTTGAGGGTCTCTTTTGCCCACTCCTCGCAGTCATACTGATGTTTCTTCTCGAAGTGCGCCAGCATTAGCCGCTGGCTGGAGCCCACGTTCTGGCCTGTGCTTTGCATGGCCACACGCGGTCGCATGGACCGAACAACCAACAATCAAAGAGCGACAAGCTGGAAAAAGGTTCTCCCCAGCTCCCTCTACAGGGGTTGATTCCCCTGAACGGAAATGGTCAAGTTCCCCCTAGATCAATTCCTGCCCCACCAAACTCAAAACGCAATGCCCGATCCATGTCTTCTAAATCAACGCGGCCACAAAGGCGCTGGGAAGGAAGCTACAGCCATGGGGCAAAGCTTGCACCGCAGCTCGCCACTTGGCGCTGCACTCCTTGGCTGCGAGGCCACTCCTCCACGATGACCATTCCGGGGAAGGGACAGGGCATATGTGAAAAAGGATGCGACTCATTCCCATCAATGAAGGTTGATCTAAGGTTGGCGGTGCTTCTAGCTCCGGAGGTAGAAACATAGACGAAGCAGTCCCTTCTACTATCGCTCATGCTGATTGCCTATTGAGTACTAGAGCTTTACCCTTAATTACTCACCGGGTGTTCATGGTTTTGCTGTATTTACGCAACATTGGTAGCATTATTTGTCATAACTTTAATATGAGTTGTGGCTTCAATGCATCAGTTGCAATTGAAAAAACAACGAATAAACCCATATATATATCTGTGTGTATCTCACGTATTGTACATGAACTAGATGATGTATATTCTGCGTAGATGCTATTACGCATCAAATGTCACATATTTCAAAGTGTTAAAATGATGGAAAGAGATATTTCTGGGGTCAGATGTTCAACCAGCATGAATCCTAGAGAGGTTGGGCCGCTAGCTTGCCACCAAGGCGTCCCTTCCATAAACTGCAGCATCTTTTCCTCAATTGCAGCAACCCCTGCACCATCAGCAAAGGGCCGAAACACGTTTGGCAAACCGAAAGGACGGCACAGGGGACAACTCGCAAGTAAAGATTGTGATGAAGTCGCCTCATCGTTGCTCCAGGGAAGGACAGATTGCACAGTCTCGTTTAAGAGATCCACCTCAGCCTGGCGCGCTGAGCAGCATGCTAGCAACCATTGAATTCCTTCACCAATCTGCAGCTCAGGCCGTGCTTGGCAAAATACACCAAAAAGAAACATCGTGCACACAAACGCATAGTCTGACTTCAATGTTCTGATTGGAAAAGCACATCTTCACACTCATACTTGGAAGGGGCAATTGGAACAAGCATGTCAGCGCTGCATGTCCGAGGAGGGTCAGCCTGGTTGCACACGCGTCGCGCATGAAAGGGGGCTCTTCCTACGTCAAAATTGACACCCTCAAACAATCCACAGAAACTTTCCGGGCACCGGGCTTGCGAGACATGATCTTCCAGGAGTCTTCTTGGATCCGGAAGATCCCATTACTTCGGTGGTGTGTCTTACCATGCTTTCGGGCGGAGGCCCTACCATGCTTTCAGTGGTGTTTGGTGCTCACATTGCGGGCAGTAGGCGGGCACGAATTTTGAAGCAAAGACGCTCAAACGCACAAAGACGCACGAAGACGCACGAAGACGCATTGCGTTGGGAGCTCAGCGCAGAAGAGATGCTTGACTACTGAAAGTCCGCTTCTGAAAGGAAAAGCTTGGCCTGACAAGAGATGCTCCAAGTAGAAGAGGAGCTCGATCAGCGAAATGCCACTTATGAAAGGAGAAGCCCGGCCGATAAGAGACGATCCAACATAGAAGCCCGATCGGGGAAGGACGAGTCGGGTTACGAAAAGTTACAAGCCCAGATTTAGGCCTGCGTTCCCAGTTCCTCTTCGGCAGGTTGCGTTTTGGCTTTTGCGGCTTTTCGCTGGTTTTTGCGGCTTTTGGCGGCTTTGGCTTTTCGCATCCTCTGCTTTCCCAGTTACTCTCCGGGCCTTTTGGCTATTGCACCCTTTCATTGGTTTTTGGATTTGGCTTTCCGCATCATCAGCATCACCAGTTCCTCCCTATTTGAATCATCACTTCTTCGAACATCATGGGGGGGCTTCCACCCCGCCCACACCCACCGGCTACCTTTTAGATTGTTTGAATTGCATCAACACTTCTTCAAACATCATGGTGGGGGCTGCCGCCTCCCCCCCAACCCCCCCGCTACTTTTTAGATTTCTTGCAGAGATTTAATTGCACACCTATTTGAATCATCACTTTTTCGAGCGTCCAATTTCGCAAGAAAATGCTGTAAAATGCGACATTTGAGGTAATCTATGTAATCCATGTATGTCTGTATGTATGCACTTCTTCGAACATCATAGGGGAAGCCACCCCCGCCAACCCTCCCGCTGCCCTTTGAAATTCTATCGCACCCTTTCTTGAATCATTGCGCCCCTACTTGAATCACGGGAGCTGCCGCCCCCCCCAACCCCCCCGCTACGTTCTAGATGTCTACAGAGATTTAACCGCACCCCTATTTGAATCATCACGTCTTCGAACATCATGGGGGGGGGGAGCCCCCCCTAACCCCCCCGCTACTTTTTAGACTTTTTGCAGTGCGAACATCATGCGGGGGGGCTGCCGCCCCCCCAACCCCCCCGCTACTTGTCACTTGTTTTTAACAGGGATTGAAATGCCCTCCTATTTAAATCATCATTGTTTGGCCCCGTCAACCCGCCAGCTGCTTTTTGGATTGTGTTACTCCACGATTTGTTGGTGATGCTAGGGATGTTGATGTTGAAAACGATGCTGGGGATGTTGACGGGCTAGTGGAAAATGCGTCCATGTCGCGAGAAAATGCTGTAAAATACGACATGTTACTGGCCCGGACAAAAAACTGAAAAACATCCAAAAATCACAAAAGAAATCCGCACCCTATACACATATACATAAATATATATATATATATCAGCACTTAACTCTATCCAGACCTGTCTATCTATCTGTCGACCTATATCTCTCTGAGCCCATCTATTTCCCGCTGTATAGGCTATTAACTATTTGCATAATCTTAAGGTCTAAGCGTATCATCTAAATGTAAATTTGCAGCTACATGTACACCTACAAACTACATCTATTTCTTTCTTTCCCTGTCGATCTATCTGTCTTAACCCTCTGGAAGGCTTTAGTTTAAGTCTGACTGTAGATAATATATATATATATAATATGTGTATATCTGCCTATATCTGCCTAAACATTCCATCTAAATCTGAATTTGCAGCTATATCTGCCTATATCTGCCTAAACATACCATCTACATCTGAATTT